CCCCCCGACAGCGCTTTTTACTAGCATGCTGCACTTAATAAACTGTAAATGGATTGCATGCATATCTACTCCCAATGGTCCCTCAAACCTTTTGTTGCTTTGTTAAAAACATGCTGTCATTACAGCTCATTTTCTTCACCAGACATCCCTGCAGTCCTCTTAACAAGTACAAATATCTCAGGTTTGTAAAGTTGATGCTGGTTCTTACATGATCTTCCTGCTGGTTTTACAAATTGACCCAGATTTTGTTTCCTCCTTATTGTTTTATTTCTGTTACTGGATTATTTTTTTCTTTTGGACCAGTTTCCTTTTTGTTGCTGCTCCCTTCATCACTGCAGTCTGACTGCCATATATGGTGCTGGATATGGAATCAAATAATCCAGTTGTTCTGCTGTGTTTCCACACTGCGTTAGTACAAAGATCAGAAGTCATATTTGCTGTGATGACTCTATTTAGTTTATGTTCTCCTGTCATCTGTAAATTCTGTTTGTCTTTCTACCTCATTGTGCACAAGACTTTGTCATAATGTCTTACTCAAGTTGTGTTTGCAACAAAAATTACTTTGGTTGTAGCTTTGCATGTTCTGTCAAAGCAAAAGGAAGTCACCCTTGAGAAAAAACTGAACAAAACTTTTTATATTTTAATTAGAGTTCTTGCATTCCTCGGAGTGCATATTGTTTGCTTCCTTTCATGCCAAACTTTTAAAGTAAGATATTCTTACATTGAAAAAAAAAACTGTTTGTCAAACCTCGAATATTGCATTATGCCACATCCCACATGATATTGCATGACTTTGTTTGATGTGTTAGTGCTTGCATTGTGCTACACATGACTAAGCTACTACCACTACTACCATCAAACTTTAGCTCAATATTTATATACTTGACAGAGTTGGAGATGTTTTGTGTAAGCTAAAGTTGATCAACTGTGGCGATAATCTAGAATTGGGTTGACTCCAAATGTTAATCAGTTGTTGTTGGGTGTACATCCTATGATTACTTTAGTCAGTTACAAAGTTTGAGCAAAAATGGTTGCACCTCTGTTTTTTCCTCATCAAAATAATGGTTTTATCTAAAGGTCTGGCATAAAAGGTGGTAGGTTAAATTCCTTTAAGGCAGGGGTGTCAAACAAATTTTCACCGAGGGTAACATGAGCGTAATGGTGGCCCTCAAAGGGTTAATTGTAATTAACTTTGTTTAACTTTGACCAAACATGAAATGTCACATTCCTTGTCTCATTACTACGGCTGAGCACTGCTAACAAAACAATAACTGAGCTCTATGTGGTATTTCCTGCATAGAAACATTTTAACACATCCACTTATAAACACTGAAAGGTACCACATGTACAACTGAATAATTGTGCAATAAAGATTACATAAATACTATTACAAGTAAATGTAAGAGAGTTTTAATAACTTTTGTTGAGAAGCTGTTGTCTTGAAGTATAAACTCTCCCACTTTCCGACACGGAATTCCCACTGGATTGGCATTCCAGTTTAAATTTTTGATTGTAAGTGGGAGATTGTAGGACTTAAAGCAGCAAAGGCTTATTTTAAGACATTGCATCTTCGACTCTTTGGCGGGCCACATTTGGCTTGCGGGTCTTGAATTTAACATGTGCTTTAAGGAATGCTAAACTTTAAATTGCACAAAGTTGTCAAACTTTCAAACAGATAAAAAATGCACTTGCAATTACATAGAGTTTTTATCTCATAACGTAAGAGAGGTTATCATGTTTTTACATTTGATTTTATTTTTTGTAGAACCCACAGTATTCAAGTACCAGCACCTATGTGATCTTTGCTCACCTCCTGAGGCAGATCGCAGCTTTGTCTGAGGCTGACCACCACTTCCTGGTTCACTGGCTCAAAAGGTGAGTATACGTATTTTTTAAGGGTTCCCCCATTAGACATGCAGACAAATGCAAACTTGAAATTGGGCCTCAAAGAAACTGTTGCTGTGTAAAAATTCAAATATATTAAAATTATTCATAGCAGAAATTGTATTATTAGGGCGGCTGTGGGGGAGTGGTTAGGGGAGTCGTCCTGGAACCGGAAGGTCCCTGGTTTGATCCCCCGTCCAGCCGTTTCAGTCGTTGTGTCCTTGGGCAAAACACTTCACCTGCCTTGCCTACTGATGATGGTCAGAGGGTCTGGTGGTGCCGGTGCATGGCAGCCCCACCTCTGTCAGTGTGCCCCAGGGCAGCTGTGGCTACAATGTAGCTTACCACCATCAGTGTGTGAATGGGTGAATGTCTGTAAGTGTAAAGCGCTTTGGGGTCTGGAGGGACTTGATAAAGCACTCTATAAGTTCAGTCCATTTATCATTTATTAGTAGCAGAAACCTGTGGTGGTAAGCACACTTGTATTACAGTGTTTTAAGCTGAAAATATGACAATTTGAAAAAACTCCTTTTCAGGTTTTGAAAATAATTTTTAGTCAAATAAAATGAAAGTTAATTGAATTTTGGGAATTTGTGACTGAAGGGATTTGAGAGAAACATTGCCATATTTAATCACCATTCTTTAACCAGGCAAGTCCCATTGAGATCTCAGATCTCTTTTTCAAGGGAGGCCTGAAGGCAACTTATTGTACATGTTTTGAGGGGTGGGGGAAACTGGAGTACCCGGAGAAAACCCACACAAGCATGAGGAGAACATGCAAACTCCGCACAGAAAGACCCCCTGGTCCGAACCGGGGATTGAACCTAGGACCTTCTTGCTGTGGGGCGTTGGTGCTAACCACTGAGCCGTCGTGCTGCCAATTGCCATGTATGCACCGGTGTGTCAGAAGACCAAACTTGTACTGAATTCTGGCAGGGACAGGAAGCCAGTGAAGAGAAGGCAGAACTGGTGTGATGTGCTCATGTTTTTTGGTTTTTGTCAAAAGCTGGCTTGCACTGTTTTAGATGAACTAGATTTTTGAAGATTTTTATTTGAGATACCAAAAAGAATGGAATTGTGATAGCCCAGTCCTGAAGATATATGGACAAGTTTTTCAGCATCCAGCTGAAAAAATAATGGGATGAGACTAGCAACATTTTTAGATTAAAAAAGAGGTTTTGCACAGATGTTTTACATGGATCAAACGAAAGTTGAGGGTTAAACCGGACACCGAGGTTGGTGACAGTAGTGGAGAGTGGGATGTCCAGTCCAGAAAAGGTTTTAGCTGTGATGGGGGATGACTGATCCTGATGAGGAGTGCCAACCAACATTGCCTCAGTTTTGGACCTGTTCAGCTGAAGATAGTTATTGTTCATCCATGACTTTAAGTCCTCCAGACAGGCTGTGAGTGAGGAGAGTGTAGTAAGTGTATTTTAAAGTGTCTGCTCTGTCACTCTTACTGAAATGCAAAGAATTGCTCAGAAGCTCTACACAAATACAGGTGCTGGTCATAAAATTAGAATATCATGAAAAAGTAGATTTATTTCAGTAATTCCATTTAAAAAGTGAAACTTGTATATTATATTCATACATT